TCTATGACAGGCTGTCACTTACAAGTTCATTTCATTATTTTAAGAGTTATTTTAGGGAAGGTCTAGAATATCATGTATTATAGGGCTATTTCTGCCCCAGATGTAAGCCACTGACCTCTGGAGTTGCTACCAATTGATTTTACATTTACTGAAGTCTTTTTACTCTTGTTGGAGGGGACCTAAATGTTTACTAACCTTTTTAAAAATTGTAAATTAGTTACAACTTCCCAATACCTTTTCTCCTTCCTATCCTTGCAGTTTCATGGAGTTTCACCCTATGCCTACACAAGCAAGTTCAGCCTTCCTATGCAGATTTCTGAAACTCTTTTATATAGATTCCTTCACTTTGGAACCCTAACCTGAAAATTCTAGCCTCTTTAGCCTCCCTGAACTCGATTTCTGCCTCCTTAACTTAGTGAGACCCCCAGATCTGTCTGGAGTTCCTCTCCCTGGGATCTAGTCTGGATATTGCCTCCAGGTACTGATAGGGCTCCCCAGCTGCCACGCTGCTCAGCTGGTCCACTGGTCCCTGGGGACAAGTGGCAGCAGAGCAGTGGTGGAGTGGTGGAACAACAACTTGGGCGGGCTGGACAACAGGCAACAAGCATGGGCCGAGGCTGCACGGACCCTGCCATGCCTGCTTGGGCATAAGAAGAACAGACCAACACTACCGGCGAGCCAAGGTACATTGACCTGCCGTCCTAGCACAGACACCAGCTGCACGTGGTCTTGCAGCTCCAGATCCAGCTCTTCCACCCAAGCATGCGCAATTCATGGACCTCAACCTTCAGCTTCCTGAAAAGTGTTGAGAAAATGGAAGCAAGGCAAATCCATTGGGATTCAAAGCTAACCAATAGCATTAGTACATTTCCAAGTGTTAATTAGCATAATTTTGGACCAGTAGGGTTATACCTTTTCAAGCTCTGATTAGCATAAATTTGGACCAATAGCATTGGAGCAAGTGCTATATAAACCCCTAGACTAACACACTGAAACTGTGATCCCTTTAGGTTCACTTTCGTGCTGTTGGAGTTTGGTTTCTGTGCACATTTGAATTGCTCATCCTGGTCTCTCAGGACTTCATATTCTGAATTCAAGAGACAAGAACTCAGAAGAAATTGCGGTGCTGGGGTTTGTTGCAACATTGAAAGACCCAATCCATCATTGAGAGCTGCAGCGTGCTTTATGGCTGCAGAGGCTTGTAACTTAGGCAGACCCATGTCACCTGCCGGCAGAAGAGGAGGATGAGTTTGCCTCAAAACTCCGTTTTCAGCAGGAAGCCTGGGCTGGGGTAAGACATCTGTTTCTTTCAGTGATCACAGTTCTGAACTCCCTGTTGTTCAGTGTGTCTGAAAATAATTGGGTCTTATGTTTTATTTAATTTTCTAGAGGTTTGTGGTGGGTGTGTATATTCAAAGTCTTTAGTTTCTCATGGTTGGAGTGAGAAGTTTATCTTGTTTACTTGTTCAAAAGACACTTTCTCAGTGAGCGCTCTAATGGCAATGTTCTTTAGACTTCCAACATCCCTCCCCCCAATCAACACTCCATATTCCTTTTACCCAACTCATTTTCTCCATAAGAGTTTCTCACTCTATAACGAACTACAAAATATTTGAACTTACTGTTTTCCTCTCTCCTGCCAGCCACTTATATTAGAATGAAGATAGATTTAAAAAAAAATATATTGACTTTGCTCATTGGTGCATCCCCAGTATTCAGAATGATGTTTGGAATATACTAGGTCATTGGTAATGTTCAGTGAATTCAAAGATGTGAATTTCTATGCTTATCCACAGGGAACCTGCATTAAAACTTTTAAGGAAGAGAAATCAAGTAAGACAAACAAATACAAATCAACAGTCACTGCAATCAAACAATTTCAGGAAAGAAATCAACAGATGAATTTCAAGATCCTCAAGACCAAGTCTAGTTAAGTGCTGAAATGAATAGCGTATTGCCATTGATGAAGTCTCTGTTGGGGGTGTGAGCTTGGAGGAGATATCAGGAGCCAGGTTGTTAAGCACTGTGAGGTTTAGTCATCTGGGGAAAAGCAGGAGGATCATTCTGAACTGGCTCTTCTCTTTTTGCCTCTCCTAACCTCCCACACTTCCTGATCTCTGAACTGTTGACCATTAGGGAGTATCTTTTCCGTTAGAGGACAGAGACAATCAGGGCAATTAGTGGTGGTTACAATGAAGGGACAGTAAAGTTAGGAAAAGAACAAGAACAAGGTCACTGGGGATCTATATTAGTTTGTTGCTGCTATAACAGTCATCTATAGACTTAGGGGCTTAATGCAACACAAATTTATTATCTTAACATTATGGAAGTTAGAAGTCTGAAATGGGTATTAGAATCAAGTCTTCAGTCACCAGGGTGTTATGTGTCTTCTGAAGTCTTATAGGAGAGAATTCATTTCTTTGCCTTTCTAGCTTCTAGAAGTTTGCCACATTCTTTGCCTCATCACATCCAGCCAGCAATTACACCACTCCAATCTCTGCCTCCATTATCACCTTTCCTTCTCTGGCCCCCCTGTGTCCCCTTTCCCATGTAAGAATTCTTCTGAATAGCTTGAGCTGTGCCCCCCTCCCCACAATAATCCAGTGTAATCTCCCCATTTTAGGATCCTTAATTTAAACATGTTTACAAAGTGTCATTCCCATGTAAAGCAACTTATTCATGGGTTCTGGGTATTAGAATGGATGGAAGTGGAGCAGGGGACATTCTGCTTACCACAGACAGACATCTGTTTAAAAGACGAAATGTGGAATGTGAAGAGAGACAAGAAGAGGAGAACACATGTGACTCAAATGAATGAGGTCCAAGAATATGGTAATTTAAAGACAAATATAAATATTATTTGTGTTGCATCACTTGTCTGTGACGTTCTGAGCTGGTATAGCTATTAAGAGACAATGCTATTTATAATAATAATAAGGCTGTCATATAGATGGACATAGGTATAGACTGCATGTTCACCTCCTTCCCACACAATTCTGATGTTGAAACACTAACCCCTGATGGGATAGTATTAGGAAGTGTGTAAGAGTCTGTAAACAAGTCTGGATGGTGCCTGGCATTTTGCCAGAGGGAGTGGTTTGTGAAGTAATGCCAGGGAGCCATTAAGTGTGGAGATTCCTTATTGGTTGACTGATGTATCTAGTTTATGCTAATTAGATAAGCTGAGTGGAATGTATAAATACCGCTCCTGTCCTGCAATATATGGCTTCCACTCCTGCTGTATCAATCTACACAAGTTGCTCTTCACCCCCCCCCCACCCCCCTCCACCCCGGTTATTTTGCCCAGCCAGCCGGGCTGCGGCAGACGTGGGGACTTTGTGATGTAATTATATCATAAGGGTGGAGACTTTACTATGGGACTAGTGCCCTTGGAGGCATGAGAGCAAGCTTGGTTACCTTCCTTCTGCTCCGCCCCCACCACCTGCCACGTGAGAACATGCTAAGATGACAGCCATCTGAGAACCAAGAAGTAAACTCTCAGAACCTGAATCTACCTAAAACCTTAATCTTAGACTTTCCAATGTCCCAAACTGAGGAAATAAACATCTGTTGGTTAAGTCATTTGTTATGGCAGCCCAAACTGACAAAGACAGTATATAATCTCATTTAGTTAAGATTTGATCCAGGTCTATGGGATGCAGCTAATTACTTCACTAGTTTTAATGCCTTCATATGAAGAGAACAGGTCTACATTCTTATTATTCTTGATGACTCTTATCATGTTACTGAATGCTATTAGGTATCTACAATAATCTGGCTTCAAAGCATCAACATTTCAGTACAAATCATGCTAAAACCAGAAGGTCTTTTAAATTGGTGTATGCAATTAGAGCATATAATGAATTTAAAGGAAACTTCAGAGCATATGGCATTCTGAAGTCTTCAAGTGCAGTTTGATGGAACCACAGTGAAAATGAAGAGGAGGTATGATTTTAAAGAAAGCTGTTGGACTACAGTGTTGCAAATAAAATCTAAGGAGGCACTTTGCAATTCAGTTTTCTGTTTCTATTTTTTCCTAGTATTTTATTGCTGCCTCTCATTCCCCAAAAATATAAATGTTCCTTGCCAATTTAACATAATAAATTCTAATTCCATCAGGTTCTTTCCAAGAAACTGACATTCACCTCTCCTGGCATACTGGAAAGATGGAGTGTCACAGCTTAGCTTAGTGAGGGGGACAGGTTGGGCAGTGCCCATGAAAATTATCCCTCATCACGTTCATAAATAGTAGTGTTTGAATAAGATGACCTCAGGGTCCTTCCAGCCCTACAGTCTATGTCCCTATGGGATTTTGCCTGACTCTGGTTGAGACTCATCAAATGTGATCTTCCAGTCCACCTTCAAGTGTTTGGAAGCATCCCACTTCTCTCAGCCATACAGATTGAAAGGGGAATGGTATTCTCCAGGGCTTTTGTGTTGTATTCTTGGTTGGCTGACCATTAACCAAACAGGGTTGCTGCCTCTGGCAGCTGTCATCGTAAACCCTGGGTTATGGAAGGTCTGATTCTCCCTAGATGCCCTGGGAAGGGGGTTGGGGTAAGAGGGGATTATTTCCAAGAGAACAGCACCAGAGACCTGCAACCACAGTGATGCTCCAGTTTGGAGTTATTAAGCCCTTGCTTTTCCATGAAATGAGAGGACCAGCAACAAAGACAGCACTTGTGAGGGCGATGGGTTTAGAATCTAAAGTCCTGTTGCAGACCTTGAGCACTTTAAGATTCCTGGGTAATTCATAAGTACCTAAATATCGCTGACCCTCCCTTTCCTTGCCCCTAAGTCTGTCAGGAGCCAGGACCTGAATAGGCTTTCCTGTTGCAGGTGGGGGACACGGAGTTCCAGCCGCTTCTCAGCGCTAAAGAGCTACAGAGACCAATGTGAGGGCGCAGCAGTTCTCCGGAGCAGCCCACGTCCTTCCCGGGCAGGTGTTCCCCGGCAGTGCCGCGGATTCCCAGCTCCATCCTTCCATGGCTCCTCCCCAGTCGTTCCAATGAGCAGCGGGCGCGGGAAGCTGGAGCCCGCCCCAGGCGCAGCCGCGCGCCTCCCTCCACCTCCCTGCCGGTTCTTTTCACCCTGAGCGCCGCTCCAGCCCGGAGGCGCCCCGTCTCCTGCCCAGCCATGGGGAGCCCTACGCTTCTTTTTCTGCTTTCAGTGGTGCTAATCGCGATGGACAGCGAGGCCGGTGAGTGAGGTTCTCGGGCGGGGATGCCCTCAGAAGGGACCGTCCGCGCAGGGTACAAGTGTCCCTTGCTTTGGGGATGGATGCCGAAGGAATTGAAAGCAGAGAACTTGGGGCACCTAGCGTAGGGTGCTGGGTGCCCCGTTGTGCGGTGGCGGCGAGTTATGGAGGAGGTCCTAGGTGGGCAAGGCTAAGCCTCAGGAGTAGCCGCCTGGATGAGTCGCAGGGCCCTTTACAAACCTGCAGGTGGGTGAGAGGGGAGGTGGGCTCAGCCAGCGAAATCGGTGTCTTTTTCCAACGGTGTCACAGCAGGGAAAAGGAGCTCTCTCCACCCTGGGGGTGCCGCGGGCACTTTTGCTTCTGGGCTCATCCTTCTCCTCAATGTTCGGGCTGGGTGGGATTCACTTTCTGGCCCTGATCTCCCGTTTACCTGCGCCCTAGTGTGACAGGCAACAAATGTAGCTTTTTGGAGGTCAGGACCTCGTGAAGAGCCGCTTCACGCCAAAAAAAAAACAGCCCAGGGAAAAGGGTGATGGGGCCTGAAGTGCCTTAGGAGTGCATTTCTTGCTGTACTTGTTGATGTCTCTTAGGTGTAGGCAGACCCAACGCTCAGATGAGCTGAGTGGAGTGTCCAGGGTGGCAGAGAAATGCGTTGTTCCCCAAGGGTCAAACTAGTGGCTGATGATGTAGTCAGCTGTAGGAGATGTTCAGCATTTATGAAACCATCTGCCCTGTGGGATTGTTAATGCCTGATTGTCCACCATGAATGAAAGGCAGATTTAGTCATTTTAATTTACAGCGTCAAGGTACTGTTGACAGCTTGGAGGAGGTGTCACTTTACAACAGTTGTTTTTCTCCTAGGAAGGTTCTAACCCTCAGAATTTGTTGTTAACATGGTCCAGTATCTCTGCTGTGGCTTATCTGCTTGCACTCTTCTGAAACAGGATTTAAAGTTATTTGTCTTTTGTTTTTTGTTTTTTTTTTTTAAACAAAACAGTGATTTCCAACATAACCTACTATGAAGGCGTCTTTATTGTCTGTTTTAGAACAGCATGTAATCATTGTACTTAATGTATTGACTGAGAAAGCTATGGTGAATTTAATATATAAATAAATGTATTAAGTACATTTCTTATGCAATTACAGCAAGCCCCCATGTAGATAAAAGTAAGGTTTGAGACCAGTCTGCAGATAGTATGTAGAATCCTTATGCATTTTTGTTTCCCAGATTGAGAATCACCAGGACAAAATACTGTTCAAGTTCTGACTCCTGTGATGGGTAATCTTGGAGGGTTGACTGCAACCCTAATTGAGATCCTTCTGGAAAGAGCTACTGGAAGAGGTAGCAAAAGAATTAATGCTTTATGAGCACGTGGTATACTGTGTGCCAAGCAGCTTTGTGCTCATTTAATCCTTAAATCTTCCTCTTAGGATCACTTATTTACTAGCCTTATTGTACTTATTGTATAGATATTAAAACTGAGGTCCAAAGAGAGGAATTAACTCTCCCAAGATCACATTAAGTAGGTGATCTAACCAAAACTCTAACCCAGGTGGCCTGGTGACTTAGCCTGTGTTCCCATGGCAGCAGTTGCTGACATCGACTGGTCTGAATTTCATAGTTTTGTTCTTGAGTTAAGCCAGATAGCTGGATGAAATGTGAGTAGGTGGTGGAGAAGCTGCTATCCATTGATAAGTGATATTTACTCAGTATTTTATTTTTGGTCTTTTTATACTCCAGACTTTAAAAATCAAATGTGGAATAACTATATGGAAAGCACTACCTCAAAGGGACACCAGTCAGAACTGGGACGTTGTCCCTTCCCAAGAAGAGTAATCTGCACAGGAGCCTTTTGTGGTCCACTTCCATGGCATAGCTGTGTACAGTTGTCACCAGAGTAGGACTGGCTGGGCCTTCTCCACATGGTGCAGACACTTCTAGTACAGGATTTGGATTATACTTTATAGGAATCGATTGATTTTCCTCTCTGAAACTTAGGTCACTGTAGTAAATGAAGTACAGTTAGGCTTCCTATTGCTTCGCCTTGAGGACTGTCAGTATCTGGCTTATTTTTAACATCAATCATTTTGGAAAGGTAAAAAAAAACACAGGTTCACGGCTTGAATAGAACAATATGAATCACTCTTGCAAATAACTGAAAATTATTTATATCCTGGCTATTAGAGGCATGCTAAAGATATTATGTAGGATCAAAAATTCTAATGTTATTTTAAGATGTGTCTGTACATCTCAAATACTTGGAGCCTAAACTTGTAAGTATTCCTTCTCCAAGGCTTTGGGATTCAACCAGAGCTGAAAGCACCATCCTCATGTCTCTGGGTGCACAAATGTGAGTCGCTTCTTTCTAACAGGGAAACAAGGAGGCACACAGAAAGCCTCCAGCAACAACTCCATGACCCCAGAAAGAGCTGGTTCCCTGGAAGTTCACTGGTGAACCCACATGGGGCTTTGGGGTACTAAGTTCCCCTGGTGTTTTCCTGAAAATGAGGTGAAGGAAGACCTTCCCAAATGACCCCTTACTGCTTTTTATCATGACAAGGTGCTCCCTTGTACCCAAGGGAGCCAGAAACTCTCATGGCTCTTTTTCTTGATCATCTAATGCAGATGAAGCAGAGTGTAACAATACGCGGCAAGCTGCATGTGGTGGAAAGTGCATTCCTGTGGCCTGGCTCTGCAATGGTGAGCAAGAGTGCGCAGATGGAACTGACGAACAGTGTGGTAAGTGCTTCTCAAGACTCAATCGTGAACTTGACCCTGATTGCCAAGTGCAGGTTGTATATCCCTAATCTGAAAACCCCCAAATGCTCTAGAATCTAAAACTTCTTGAGCACAAACACAACACTGTAAGTGGAAAATTCTACACCTGACTTTGTATTGTGGCTCATAGTCAAAATGCAAAGGCACTAAAGATAACTGTATATAATAATCTTCAGATTATACGTATGAAGTGTATATGAAACATAAATGAATTTTGTGTTTAGATTTGGGTTCCACCTCCAAGATCTATTATTATGAATATTATTATGCATATCTATTATTATGTAAATATTCTTAAGATTTTTTAAAAAATCCCAAATCTGAAACACTTCTAGTTCCAAGCATTTCAGATAAAGGATACTCGATTTGTGCTAGATTGTCAAGTGTCCATTCTCGTGGTTTTCAGCATCTTAAAGGGTAGGCAGACATGGTGAATTCTTTGGATTGTTGTAGGCTTTCCCAGGGAGAGCCTGGGATGTGTCTTGAGATTGTCAGAATAAGGTTCGCACCTTCAACTTAGACTTAACCACATACAAAAGTTAGAGTAATCCTGTGGTTTATCTTTAGGAAACCCTTGAAGACCCTGGGACACATAATTTGTTTGGAATATAATCAGTTAGTTCAACTTTCTAAGTTTAGAGACTTTGTTCAATGAAAAAGCCACTTTGCAAATTGACCATCATAAAGAATACTACAAAACCAATAGTCACATCAGCCACTTTGCAAATATCATGCTGAAATGAAGCTCAAGTATTCTGTGTTCAAAGTGCTCAAAGCTCCAGAAGGGTCACCTGAACACCAGTATATGTGGGAAACTTCTTAGTAGGTGACTTATATACATCCTTGTATTGTGATTGTGGAAGGGAAAAAAGTCCTCAGGAAAAAATCAAAAACCCCAAGGTACTTGGTGAGTACCGCATCCCTTTTCTTTACCCTGCCTGCATATTCCTGGTCAGTTACTACAGCTAACTTAACATGAATATTTGATATTAGAATTGGGGAACTAGCTCAGTGGTAGAGTGAGTTTAGCATGTGCAAAGCTCTGAGTTGTGCAAAGCTCTGAGTTGTGCAAAGCTCTGTGTTCAATCCCTAACACCACATGCACAGTAACACAACAACAAAAATATCTCCCCCAAAACAGAATAGCTAGCAACCACATAATATTACAGATAGAAAGAAACTTTTTGGCTTACAGAAATGCTTTGTTCTATGCCCCACCATGCTTTTTAATTTTACCTTAACTCTCTAGGTTTACTTGCTGCCAGTAGGCATACTTAGATGGAAATATTTGAAGGAACCAACAGTTTCTAGATTTTCTTAGATCTTTAGCTGCGCTGGCCACTAGCCACCTATGGGGACTTAAATTTATTAAAATGTACAAAATTTAAATAAAACTCAATTGTATTATATTAGCCGCTTTCTTTTCAGTATTGGGGAGGGAACCCAGGGCCTTGCACATGCTAGGCAAGCGCTCTGTCACCAAGCCATACCCACAGCCCACTTGTGCATTTCAAGTGCCCAGTAGTCACATGTGACTAGTGACATGTGACAGAACAGACACAAAACGTTTCCATTGTCACAGAAAGATTTGCTGGGCAACTGTGTTCTAGCAGGATGGTGTGAAGGATAAACCTTATTAGTTTGCTGGGCAGTTGTCCCTTGGTAAGGGACAAGTATATCTTGGGAAAAAAGGACAAGCAAATTCAGGGTTGACTCCAGTGGCAAATTGGTAATTATTCCTTCTCTAATTTAATACATGATATGAAACCCAAATTTGTTTATTTTTCTCAGTAGCAATGCATTTTTGGGGGGTGGTGCAGTACAGGCTATATGCAAAAAGGGAGTGCTTCAGAGATAGAGGTGTGGAGCCACAGCACAGAAAGAGGAGGAGGCAAGGGAGCTCCTGGGCAGAGGGAACCAGAGGGGGTTGAGTCTCTGGGTCTGAGAACTCAGAAGGGCAGAAGAGGGTTGGGGGTTTTGTTTGGTTGGTTTTTGGGTGACCGGGGATTGAACCCAGGGGCACTTTACCTCTGAGCTACATACCCAGCCCTTTTATTTTTTGAAACAGGGTCTTACTAAGTCCTTGATAAGTTGCTGAGGCTGGCCTCGAACTTGGAATCCTCTTGCCACAGCTTTCCAAGTCCCCTGGGATTACAGGCATATGCCACCACATCCCTTGAGGGTTGGGGATCCTTATATCACTGTAGGGGTGTTCCTGGATGAATAGGGTCTTTGGTGTACATGGCAGAAAAAGAATTTCAGCACACACCAGACAGACAGCAGACGGGTTTATTTAGGAAAGCAGAGGCACATTTAGGGGAGAATGCAGGCTATCTCAGAGTAAAGCAATGAGCACACCTTCAATGGAGAATGCTGGCTCTCCCCAGAGGGAGAGACAACAGCCCTCTGGTCTGGGGTGTTAATATTTATAGAGGTATGGTAATGTGGGGCTGAATAAGAGGTGGAGTCAGGGTAGAATTATACAATTTCAGGCCAATTTTCCCTGTACTTCTATTTTGCTTATGTTATTTTTTTCTGGCAAGGACTCAAGCTAAGGAAGTGGGCTAAGGACTTAGGCTGGGCTGCTCACCATGAAACCCCAATTTAAAAACGGCCACTATCTTGACAAATTCATCTTCCTTTGCACCTCTTCTTGAACACCACCCCTGGTTGCAGAGGAAGCATGCCGTGGACATCCACAAGCCTGGCAGTGTGACGATGGGAGGTGCATTTCTGTCAGTTGGCTTTGTGATGGTGCTGGGGACTGCTTGGATGGCTCCGATGAGGTTGATTGTGGTGGGTAGAACACATTTTTAATGTTCTCTCATCTTCTCTGTTCATTAGCAGTATTTATCGATATAGTATTAAATGAAATAAAGAAGTCGTTAAACATCTGTATGCCATATGTGCTAAATATAGATATTGTCTCTGGTATTATAAGAGAGTTTTTAACCTGAGTCTCTCTATTTTTTTTCAAAATGAAAGTGATTATGAGCTTCATTGACATTTTGAAAACTTCTTTGGGGTGAAACTTCAGTTGTACAAAATTGTGACTGTGTCTCCAATGGTTGGCGTCTCTTTTAGTTCTCAGAGTTCTGTAGACCAAGTCCCATGAGCAACCCATAGGTACAGTGGAGAAGCAGATCCATAGAACACTGGTTCGGCCTCACCAAGCCAACTCCTGCCTTTCAGACGTGAAGGTGACAGCATGTCCAGACCATAAAGTCCAGTGTCCAGGAAAGTCTCGGTGCCTGGATGCTGGGGAACTCTGCGATCTCCATCAGGACTGTGCAGAAGGGTCCGACAGAGCACACTGCCCCCAGAGCCATTGTCTGGCTGGGCAGTGGCAGTGCCAGAACAAGGTGTGTGTGATGGACAGCTGGAGGTGCGATGGCATCGACCAGTGTGGCGACTCCTCAGATGAGCACGTCTGTGGTGAGCCTTGCTTCCCCACGTGTGTCTCAAGGACAGATGTACTATGTGGGTTGCTTTATGCAAATTGCATTTTAATCCCTACAACTGAGGCTGCATCCTATATCTAAAAACAGGATGCTTCTTCCTAGCAGTAACCAACATGTAGTTATCTGCGGAAATGTAAAACAGTGCTTGAATAGAAACTTTTGTGAGGGATGGATGCTCTGAGCATTGCCTGGAATCTTCCCACTATTCAGTTATGGCCCAACCCATGGAAAGCTGACAGATGACTCTCAGCCTTGTGCAGCCAATGTAGGAGGGAAAAATTCCTCCTTAAGGGTGGTAAATCCCCAAAGACAAGTACTACATTTCTCTTCTGGACCTCACATACACATTGTAGTTGTTCCTGACTTCTTGGTGAACCACAATCCCAGTTAATTTTTTTTCTAGCATTAAACCTATAATATCTATATATCTATTATACTCTAATATCTAATATATTCTAATATTTTTATGATAAAGTATAAATCAATCTCATAAATAGAATACTTCTTTTAGGTCAAGTGTTGACCAACTCTAACACTACTTCATTTGTAACTATTTAAAACTAGGATAATCAGTTTAATGCTAATTCCATCTACTGCCCAGGTGTCTTAACATCTTCATGATGAAATCTAAAGTTTTAATTCTATTTAAATAGAAAAAAAATTCTATTTGCAAAGATAAAACTTTCTTACCTAGAATTGTCTTAGGTTATAGAAATATTACCCCTTTACCCATGAAAGAATTGTCTGTTTCTACCATTCCCTGTGAGTCTCAATGAAAAAAAAATATGCTTCACTTCCTACACAGCTTCCTGTCCAGAAGGCCTGGTTGGATGTGATGAAGGGAGATGCATCCCAGAATCTCTGATGTGTGATGGGGAAGCAGACTGTGCAGATGGCACCGATGAACCCACCACATGTGGTAAGAAACCAGTTGCTTAGCTTAAGGTGGGAGGTGGGAAATAGGCTTAAACAGCGGACCTGCGATAGTTACCATGGAGGTCTACTCTTTGAGAGGCTGCTTGGACTAAATCTCACACGTATCAAGGATGGATCCTTTTATCAGTTATAGCCCCTGGCTTTGGTCTTTCAAGTGTGAGCATATATTATCTAAGCTATCAAACTTTGAGGGCTAATTCTCATTTTGTAGCTTTAGCTAAACACTTCTAACTGTATTGCTTTTGAAATTCTGGTAGAAAGCCAAGATTATGTCTTTGAATGTCTGTAGCTTTGTTATGAGAACAAGGCCCACACATTCAATTTAGGCTTAAATATCTATAGTGGTGTTCTCAAACCAGACTGATGCAGAGATTCTGCTACAAGGACCCCTCCCTGGAAGACCCCAGGGCACACAACTACTTGTATATAATCAACTAGTCCAGTTTTTTTTTATGCTTAGGGATTTTTTAAGACTCAAGTCAACTTTGCAAATTGAGTACAAAGAAAATGACAAACCTGTAGAAGACAAGTTAACCATTTGGCACATGTCTTGCTGATTGAGAACCAGATCATTTTGTTTAAGACAAAAACATAAAATTCTCTAAGGATTTAATGGAGACTGGACTCCTGTGGCTACTGAGAAGCAGCTTTGACTTGAGAACAAGTCCTGGTTCTCACCACAAGAATCACTGTGGTTCAGGTTCCCAGGGAAAGGAGAATGTGGGAGTCTCTCTCCAAGTCTTTTTGTCATCTGTCTCCTAGTTACTTCCCAAATATGGTCTTACATATATATGACAAAACCTCTTTAGTACTGTAAAATTCTGCCAAACAAATTTTGTACTAAAGGAAAATGGATTAGAGATGTTAAAGGCGGGGGAGAAGTTCAGTAGATTAGACAATGGGTAATGGAAGGAAAGGAGGGAGAATAGGAACAGGAAAGTGGAATGAATCTGACACGATTTTCCTATACACATATATGAAAACGTCACAGTGGGTCCCACCAAAATGTACATCTACAAGAATGGGGTCCTAACTCGAATGAGATCTAGTCCATGCTTGCATAATTGTATCAAAATGAGTTCTACTATCATGTATAACTAAAAAGAACCAATAAATTTTAAAAGATGCTAAAAGCATAAACAGTGGGACAAAGTATAGGCTTCTGGTTGTACATGGATGATAATTCAATAGGATTCATAAGCCAGTATATCACTTCCTGAGGTAGGGGTCTCACGGACTCATGCATTCCAAAAAATCATTGATAAGAGGTCTCTGGTTCCCTGAGCAAGAATAATAAATAACACCAGCACTTGAAATCATTCACACTGTTGGCCTGGAAAGAAATTCCTGCTCCCTGGCTCCTGGGATTCCTATCTTTTGCTCTTCCACACTCCTCTCTGAAGGGTCCATGTTCCTAGGCCAGAGGGCAGGGTCAGAGGGCAGGGTCAAAGGTCAGTCACAACTGGTCATCACTTGCTCAACCAGGCCTAGAAGGTATGTGCACAACACAGTTTATAAATATTGGTTCAGCATTCAACTGTTTGAACTACTTCCTGTCTCCACCAGGTAAAAACTGCTCTGTGATGAACGGTGGCTGTGAAGGCCAGTGCAGTGACACACACTGGGGTGTCCGGTGTTCCTGCAGGGCAGGATGGTGGTTGCAGCCCGACGGGCAGAGCTGTGCAGGTCAGAACTGGTTTGAATCAACTTTTTAAAACATTTTTTTAATGCAGTAAAATGCATTTAATGTAAATTTTGCCATTTTAACCATTCTTAAATGTACCATGTGATTTTCAAACATATGCTGTTGTATACGTGCACCATGTTGTGCAACCATTACCATCTCGGATTTCCTGAGCTGCTTATCATCCCCAGTAGAGACCATCCCCGTTAAACAACAACTCCCCTCCCCCTATTCCCTGGTAACTAACTTGTCCATTCTAGATACCTAATTTGTCCATTCTAGATACCTCTCATAGGGAGAATCATATAGTAATTGTGCTTTTGTGTTTGTCTTATCCCGTGGAGCATAATGACTTTAGGGTTCATCCATGTTATAACGTATGTCAATAGCATGCATCAGGATATCTGTCCTTTTTAAGGCTGAATACACATATACTACATATGGTGTCCGACTACTGGTAGATAATCACCAGTAGTTGTTTCTTCCTTTTGACTGTTGCAAAGAATACTGTATGAACGTTGCCGCAGTCTGGCTGGGCACAAAAATCACGAGCCACTCAAGCAGGAACAAACTTTAGTTTTTGAAACTGCCTCCAATGTCCGGTACGCGCCCGGGAAGATTTTTTTATCCACCCACGCGGCCACCTCTCGGAACCGCAGCGAGCACTCCTCCCCCGGAACTCCCTCCTACTGTACTTCCCCAACCAATGGAAACTCTCCAGGAGTCCTGTAGCCAGCCTAGGTGAACAGCAGGAATCCAATATCCATATGAATGCAAATCTTAACATAATCATATCATCTCAATGGCTAGCTGGCGTCACCTTTCGACCAAAAATGCCATGCATCATATACTTGGCTCTTAGCAGAACGTGATACGCAAATATCTGTGTGATAATTCCATTTGCTGGGTATATACCAGAAAGTGGACTATAACTGGATCATGTATACTTGTTTGATTTTTTGAGGAGTCCTCAAACTGTTTTTCCACAGTGGATGCACCACCAGTAGTGCACAGGGTTCCAGTTTCTCCACGTTCTTGCCAGTGCTTGTTAATGTCTCTTTTGTGGGAATTGCAGGGCATCTGATGCCAAACAAGAAAGTGTTAAACTTAATGTTCTTTCCCTGTGGAGCTTAGAGGATTTCTGTCACAGAATAAATATGCTTGTCATTTTACAGTCATGCCTAAGGTCCATAGCATGGGTTTCAAGACAGAATCTGAAATTCCAGCCCATTGTATGTTTACCCTTGCTTGTTCCTGCTGGTTGACCTTCTCCAAGTCACTGGAGAAGACTCATTTCTTCTCTTTGTAAATGGGATTATGGTGCCACAATAGCTAAAATAAATTTCATATACCTTCATTATTCAGTAATAATTTAAAAGATTATGACTATTACCCTATAGCACCTGTCTACAAAAATAAAGATAACGCTTTAGGATAAAATGTGATTGGAAGGGTAAAGGATCTATTGTTTTGGTGCTCTGGACTGAGGGATTAATCAGCCCTTCCACCCTAAACCTGGTCAATGATCCCTACTCAATAGTGCCCTCTCTCCATGACTGTACCTTCCTGTAGCTCTACCCACTTGGGAAGGCTACAAGAGAAAAGACTGGTTTATTAGTATTAAATAGTATTTTTTAGAGAGTATAAAGGCTTTTGTATTAGCAATTCATTCATGATTGTTATAACTCTATTAGATTTTCAATTTATTAATGTTAAAATTTAATCATTAAATTCAATTTACTAATTCAGGAGATAATTTAACAGATTAATTCATCATTAGAAATATGAAATCAGCATCTGGTCATGGCTCTTAGAAGTGTCTGGGTTTTGTGCCCCCATCCCCGAGCCCCTGGAGTACCCTTCTTGGGTTTCCAGCCCACTATAGGACTTGGATGGCCCTTGAGCCTGACTGTTGCTTATTCTTCTGGCATGATGGGAAAACATTATTCTACTTTAGGACCCGGTGGGTTTGGAGCAATAACGTTTTTGCATCAATTCTGCCAAGGAACCATTTTCCTTCTTGCTTACAAAATAAAGAAATGAATCTCTCCTGATTTTGTGATTTCAGCTCTAATGGGTCCCAGCCATTAGGCGTTGAGATACTATTGCACCATAACTAAATTTCGCCAGTTAGACCTGTGAGGCTTAAGCATTTCCCATGGTGCTAGCAGTGAACTCCAGGATGTAACACTTGTCATTCTCAAATGGTACCTCAGGAACATTGCTAGGATAACAGTATTCTGTAGTCAAACGTTTGTGGTCCCAATGTTGAAATTTCCTAAATTGTATTAATGTAGGTGGGAAATCATTGGTGGCCAGCGTGGACTATTCTAGGGCCTGGAACAATGATTTCCACCAAATGCCCAACCAGGTAGCATCTGGAAAGTGGCTCCAAAGGGCAAAAATACTGCAGAGCTTGTTCCTGGATTGCCTCTAACTTATGACCCTCTGTCATCAGATATAGATGAATGCTCTATGGTGTTCAGTCCTTGTGGCCAGCTATGTCACAATACACCAGGCTCTTACTCCTGTGACTGTATTCAAGGTTACCAACTGAACAATGGGACTGAATGTCGAGTTACAGGTGAGTTTCAATACCAGAAGCAAAGCCTAGCTCCTGTGCTATTCTTAGCAGTAATTGCAGGGGAAAGTGACATAGAGAATTCATTTTTAAGTCTAGTACTAGAGATGACTCCATTATTTCCAAAAAGGAGCTACCATTATACCATTCATTCCCCAACCTGAGTGTCAATTGTATTAACTAACTTGGTTACTCCACAGTCTACTATGGAGTATTCTACAGACCCAACACATAGTCTTGACTTGCCCTGTTCTTTAGAGATAAAACACTAAATTACATTTGACTACTATGTACCAGACTTGGACAGAACTTCTGCCAAATCTGGTACAAGGTGAGAGAAGAGGAACTGAATCTGAAATCCAATAAGGCAGTGAAGTTCTCAAGGTTAGTTTCAATGTATTAGAGTTCAGAGGAGGGAGGGAGCACCAAGGTGACCCACTAGATCTCTAAATACTTAGTCCAGAGTTTAGGAATAGGTAGATTTGGGGCATGAGAGATGGGATAAATCTTTAAAGGGAAATGTGTGAGGCAAAAAGCTTCATCTCTATTGTCTTTTGTTTTCAGATGATGGTATTAAAATTCTTATAGCAAGAGATCAAGAGCTTGGTTTCCTGGATCGAAGAACAGGCAACTATGAGACTCTGATTCCTATAAAATCAAGGCCCATTTCTATTGCATATGACCTTGAGAGAAGCACATATATCTGGGTAGATGAAGTCCTAAATGTGTTTGTCCTTGGGAAACCAAACTCTGTTCCCCTTTACCCAGGTATATATATACATTTTTAAATTTTTTTGTAGTTGTAGATGGACAGAATGCCTTTATTTTATTTGTTTATTTTTTTATATGGTGCTAAGGATTGAACCCAGTGCCTCACACAAAGGAGGCAAGCTCTCTGCCACTGAGCTACAGCTCCAGCCCCCAGGTATACTTTTTGGCATTAAGAGCCTTAACTTCTTAAAGCTACTTGTGTTAGTTAACTTTGCATTATTGTAACAAAATACCTGAGATAATTAGTTTAAAAAGAGGAAAGGTTTATTATGGTTTCCACTTTGGGAGATTTCAGTCTATGGTTAATTGGTCCCATTGCTTTTGGATCTGAGGTGACTCATCATATAGTGAGAGTATGTGGGTGGTGGGGGAAACTATTTACCTCATGGTACCAGGAAGTAAAGGGAGATGAGAAAAGACTAGCATCCCACTATCCCCTCAAGGTTATGCCCCAATGACTTAAACCTCCCACTAGTGCCCACCTCTTACCTGTTTCCATTGCCTTCCAACAGTGCCACAGGCTGGGGACCAAGCCTTTAACACATGGGCCTTTGAGGGACATCCCAGATCCAAACTGTAGCCCTACCCCCTAGTGTAAGAAGTATGTGTATCCATCTGTACCACCACCTGCGAGACACCTGTCATGAAGTCTGGTTTCAGATAAGGCTGCTATGGTTTAAGTCCATAGGAGCATCTTAGAATGTAACTTGCAACATGAATTGGAATGTAGCCTCAGGCCACAGTTAGTCTCAGGGCCCCATCACTAGGTATGTCACCTTGGGCAAGTTCTTAACTCCTTTGATTGCTTTCCATAAGATGAGGGTGCTACTACTTGCCTCACTGGGTAAGTTTGGGAATTAAATTAGACAATGCATGTGAAGAGGGCTTGGTGTAATGCTAGGGATATAGAAATGGTCTGGGGGCAATTCAGAGGTAGCATTTGTAACAACTTGCCTGACACTTGTGCAAGAACTTTTGCCTAAACTCAGGTCACTTACAGGCTCTCAGATTTCTTAGTTAAGCTTCTGCTCTGGTCCTCCTCCTTCCCTGCCACCCCTGCATGTTGGAAGCACCTTGGCTCATCCCTGGTCCTTGATCCTTGCCATCTATTTGCCTCACTGTATAATTCAAAATCAGAAAACGTAGTAACGTGTGTCCAAGTCTCTGCAAGGTAAGACGGGTGGAGAATGTGGGAACATAAAGCTGTCTCCTCTGTCCCCAGAGCTCACAGCGGTGAATAGCATCTCCTTGGACTGGTCCACAGGACAGTTGTATTGGGCTAGCAGCTTTGCAAGGGTCATCTGTGCTGGCTTAAGTGATGGCAGAGGCTATGTCAAAATTTTGGAAAAGGATCTTGTGCCAGAGCAGCTGGTTGTGTTTCCTGAAAAGAAGTAAGTAGTGTTTCTTTGGAAGTATATCCTAAATCACTGATGACTTAGGATATTTAAGTTAATAAGGGAACATGTCAGTCTTTTTCAACTTGGATTTCATTGGCTCCCCCTAATTCTTAATTTTGAATCCTAAATTGAAGTTTATGGAGCTAGTGTTTTCAAAGCCTAGTGAGTGTAGGAGCAGAAATCTCTAGCGATCATCAGCAATATAATGATGAGAGACCAGTACAAGAAAGCTATGCGAGCCAGGCTGTTCAGAGTTAAGTACACATGTGTGCAAGTGAAGGGGCCCTAACACCATGCACCCCTGTTCTTAGGTACTTGTATTGGGTGAATCGAGGTGGGACAGGCGTGAGGGCTGTTGAGTCTGCAGGCATGGATGGCTCTGACAGGAAGGTGCTCACTGTCCTAACCACAGAGGAGCCTTTAGGACTGACGTTGGACCATGTGACTGGCAGGCTCTACTGGATCAGTGAACACAAAAAGGTACCACACTTAGGTCCAGAGAGAAAGGTAAACTTTTGATGGGAACTTGGTTTGACTCCACAGGTAAGTACAAAATTCTCTTTAAGTTTGCATCTACTCTATGAAGTACCTTCTGGCCACAAAAACTGAGAAGAGCCAGATGCACAGCACCTTTGGGTGGAAGAGACTATATCAACCTGGCTTGGGGGAGAGAGGTGATTTTCTTCAACTCTATAGTCAAACACTATTGGAATTTTCTGGAAGCACTGGTCCTGTTCTGTGTTGTAGCCCGCACACAGGATCTTTTAGGATTGCTGACTACATCCTTGAAAGCATACAGTTCTGGGCTACTTGTGTTTCATACTTAGAAATGCCAAACTAAAAGACCAGTCAAATTTTAGGCCTATTATTTCCTACCTGTGATTTTGGTTAAATTAAAATTTTGGTGCCTCTTTTTGCTCCCATGGCTCCTGCCCACATCCTGCACAGGTGGTGGAAATGGGGTTCCCCTCAGTGGAATGGGCTGGCTGAGAAATAAAAGCTAGGGAAAAAACAGAATGGCTAAAAAAACCCACACAGAACACAGAAAGTAGTTTCAAAAGCAGGGGCAGGATGGGCAAGCCAATTAGACAGATCGAGGTTCTGGCAAAATGCAGCCTGCGCCTGCTTTATTTATATCGGGAGACATCAAAGGCCTTCCACGGAATGTTCTTCTCCAAAAAAAAAGGTTAAAGTTAGGCTGTTCAGCTCCTAATGGGTTACACCCATCCCGGAGTTACTATGAGAAACCTGCCTAGCAGAGTGGAGGGAAGGTCACGTGCATTGGGCCACCTAATGCCAGGCCTACCTCTCCCCGGGCTACCACGCCAAGAGAAGGCCCTCATGTATGTCACGGATGGCTTCCCACACATGGCCCTTGCTGAAAAGAGAGAGGATCCCTACTCAATAGGCAGCACACAGTGGAGTTGAAAGGGTTTGGTACAGTGTCAGTTTGGACAGTAAGCTGTGGCTTGGGGCAAAGTGGAACCCTCTCTCCAGCATCCCTGGGGAACTGGAAGTTCTCTGGAAACTGGGTTAAAAATTTCACTGGAGGCCGAAGTGTTTGTATCTGTGGCCCCAGTTTGTACAAGAAGCAATCCAATCTGCTGACTGGCATTAGTCTCCATGAATCCTTCAACGATCTCTTCTCTGTGAAGCTGATGTTACCTAGACATGTTTAATCAGTGTCCAAAAAACTGGTGACACTTAACTTTGTCAGCACTGGTAATGCTACCACGTTCTCATGAGATTCTAATGCTTCCTCCAGTCCATAGAGACAGTGAAAGTGGATGGAAGCGGGAGGTACACCTTTCCTGAGATCTTCCTGGAAGATGAAAACCCAGTAGGACTGGCTGTCTTTGAGAACTCTTTCTTCTGGGCAAATAAGACACAGCTGTTTCATACCTCACCCCACAGCCCAAAGGAGAGAGAGCTGTTACTGGATGCCTCTGTATCTGCTTTCTTGGTCCTCCACAAGTCCCAGCAGCCTAAGGGTAAGTAAATGGCTTGCTGTAGAAATGCTGAGGAATCGGAATGCATAAGAGTGAAACCACCCAATAGTGCTAGATGGTGGTTGTTGGAACTCAGTACTTGGAGGCAGGGAAATGTTCTGGGTGTCCTTCCAGACTTCCTTACATAGGACTTCTAAGGAAGGTGAACCAAACACCAGTATCTATTGGGGAAATCGGTCCAAGTATGTGTCTTGTGCCTGTCCAAAGCATTAGCTAGATTTTTTAAGCCATGAAATGTAGAAAAAAGGATAATAAGTTGTTCACAGAGGGCTGGGATGGCGTACTCACAGATCTTTGAATAAAACAGAAAATTGAACAAATCCTGGTATCCTCATAATAGGAAAAGTCAACTTAGAGAACGCTTCTTAAATGGATCTGAGAAGCTAACCAAAGTAGAGCCTAGGCCACTCAGGGAGTCTGGAAGTAAGCAAGGCAGACAGTCATGTTGCCTTGACTCCAAGGAGGAGATGCTGCTGGTGGAAGCCTAAGGTCCCAGCCTAAGATAGATAAGTGACTGTCACTATCTGAAAGACCATCAAGAGATCAGAGGAGTTTAAAGGTCAGCACATCCAATTAGAAGGTAACTAGTATATTGAATTCCTCTTAAGACAAAAGTGGCTTAACTGTTCTTCCTTATTAAGTTTTGATCTAGTGTGGATAAGGACATCTGAAACCATCTCACGGGTTCCTGTTTTATAGCAGGCAGACACCCAGCTTGTGCTCCAGGCTCCTGCAGCCACTTATGCCTTCTGTCTCCTGTCCACCCCAAGGGCTATAAGTGTGTTTGTCCTGAAGGAATGTTTCTTTCACCTTCTGGCACATGTAGTGGTAAGTACATTGGGTAAAATGGGCTCAGCTTAAGGAGGCATCCTCCATGGTAGCCTGGAAATAAGGTAGCTTCCATTTCTCAATCAGTTGCTTTTGTCCTTGACAACCTTCTTTGATGACTACTTTTTTATCAAAACAACTTGATTCATTTTTTCCTTTCGATTGTGCTAAAAAATATACAGAATAGAGAACTTAGCATTTTAGTCATTTCTAAGTGGCATGAAGTACAACCATCACCACCGTCCACCTCCAGAACTATTTCATCTTCCCGAACTGAAAACCCTTAACCCACTAGATGTCCCCATTCTCCTCTCCCTAACAGTTCCTTTCAACTACCATTCTGTATTCTGACTGTATGAATTTGCCTATTTTAGGTATCACATTAAGTGAAATTACAGTATATTTATCTTTCGGGTCTGCCATCTTTCACTAGTTACTATAAGTGTTTCATTCACAGTGTAGCAAGTGTACATTCTTTCTAAAAGTTGGATGATATTCCAGTGTGTGTACGTACCATATTTCATTTATTTTTCCATCTGTTGTTGGACAATTAGATTTGATAAACTTTAAATCAAGCTTTACATGAAAACTTGCAAAAGAGGTGATCTAAGAAATCCTTGATAATCTTATGACCATTCTATATTCTGACTCATGTTTATAAGTAGTCTCTACCGCATTATTGTTTTACTTAAATATCGTCAACATGAGTTCTCCAGGTTGCTGTTTCCTCTTCAAAATATTAAAGGCGACATAAAATCCATTGAACTTCTCTATCCAACTTACTCTGTATTTTCCTTAGAATATTGAGGTTTTAAGGATAAATTACATAAATGTAATTATGTTCTGAGTTTTATTTTATTTATTTATTCTAACTAAGTTTTAAAAATGCTGTTACAGGGACAGCTCTGAAAGACATCATGTGTAATAAGCTGTAGTGGCAAACTCATTAGCCTGAATTTCATTTGAAGCCATATATATATATATATATATATATATATATATATATATATATATATATACTTATATACTGTTATACTCAACTACCTGAGTAACACAGTGTTTAAAATCCTTTAGTAGTGAGAGATCATTAAATGAAGCAGAGCAGTACTCCTGCTCTCATTCTCACAATTTTTCCAAGTTTTCCCACAGAAGACCCAGTGTCTTGGGCACACTGAGCAACACTGGCATTTGCCCAAATGACCTTCTTCTCTAGAAGTTACGGTACACATGTTGGATGTGTGCTTCAGAAGCAGACATCGGTACCTCAGCTTGAGTTAGGGGCACTGCTCCAGAAGAGACCCTGGGCTCATCTGACAAATGGTCAAATAGCAAATCTCGTTTTCTTTCATAGAGTTAAAACTTGTGTTTTCTTCTGGCAAACGTCTGTACTTGTTGAAAGTTGGCTCTATGGGATCTGCCATAGAGAGAACTCTAGTTGAAGAACATTCTGGGAACATCTATTTATTGGATATTGACTGGAAAAGGAACCTCATCTATTGGACGAATGCTCAGGGACATCTGGTCTACTCAACTGGGTATTCTGGACAAAAGCTAGAGATCTGGACACGGCGTACTGGTAAGTAGGGGAGGGCATCTTGTTTTCCTCTCTGCTTTTATTTTTGCTTCTCAAATAACTAGGACCAAAAAAAAAATCTTTTCAAGTACTGATTTAAATAAATCTTCATGCCAGTGGAAAATCCCCACTTCTTGAAAGTTTTATCACCTCTCAATAGCACCAGAAGGTGAAGACCAACTCTTTACTTATTGAAGTGTTAACTATATCTGATTTATTCTTGCTCTTAGGAGCTATGTGCAGATTGTCAGAAAGCTACTATGACTCAGGGAATCCTAGAGCTGTAGTAATAAGGTTTTTAAATTTTTACATTTCTGGCCTTAAATCAGGGGAGGATAGAAATGGACCTTTCATTCTTCAATTTTTGCATTGCAAATTTTTCTTACATGAATTTAGAAGTAATTTGCAATGCAGATCTAAGAGTGAACTAGCAAGATATTTTCTTAATATGGTATATATATTTTCTTCCCCCTCCCACACTCCTAAATGCCACACCCCATCCCCAAGTTCCGTGTACTCAGATTAACTGTAAACATCTACTTTATAAGGGAGAACTGCGACTTGAGTTCTGTGATTAGAACTAGATTTCTGAATATCTGTCCCTTGGGTCTCTGCCAAGTGCTAAGGACAGGCTTTAGTGCAAAAGGTGCTGTATTGAAATACATATCTTAGAGTCATCCTCGGGGTAGTATATCTTACCAGAGAGCCCTGTTGGGTGACCACAAATACTGGCAGCAGCTCCCCAGTGATGTTCAGGGTTTACAAGAGAGTAACAATTTCGTTTGAGGTGTTTCTCACGTCAAGTGCTGAGTCCTTGTGTCTGTAATAGTCTTTTGTTACTGTAAACAACACCTGAGATAATCAACTTACAAAGAAAAAAAAATTAAATAAAGAAAAGAGGAAAGATTTCTTTTGGATCATGGATTTAGAGATCCCATTCAGGCAGATCTGTTGCTTTTAGGCCTCTGGTGGGGATGAGGGATGGCAATGGTGGGGAGTGCATGGTGGAGAAAAACTGTTCTCCTTGTGACCAAGCAACAAAAGAGAGCAAAATAAAGAGGCTGGGGATCCATGATTCACATCCAGGCACACCGTGACTGACCTAAAGTCCTCTCACTAGGCCCCACCTCTTAAAGGTTCCACCAACTCTCAATAGCACCGCAAACTCAAGACCAAGTCTTTGGGTGACATTCAAGATCCAAACTATATTAATAAGACCCTGTTTCAAAATTTAAAAATAAAAAATGGATGGGGGCCTGGGGATGTGGCTCAGTGGCTGAAGCTCCCTTGGTACCAAAAAAAAAAAAAAAAAAAAAAAAAAAAAAAAAAAGCTCGAAGATTCTGTTTTAGAAATACAGTACCTGTCTATAGGAGCCAGGGAATATAGCTTAGTGACAGATCACTTGCCTACCTTCACAGTGTGCTGGGTCCAATTCCCAGCAACACGCACAACACACACACACACACACACACTCTCTCTCTCTCTCTCACACACACACACACATACATGAAGTAGTGTAGCATGGCTCAAAAGAAATTCCTGATAATTGGGCTCTCAACAGAATCTACAGAGGGCCAAGGTTGAGTCTATAATTCCAGAAGAGAAGTCAATATTCTCTGGATATAACAGAACCCAACAAAGGGAAGACAGCATCTGCATCTAGGATGGCCAGTCTGTTCTTACTAATTTATCAACCTTAAGTCATTTCTCCTTTTGCAGGCAGACTAACTTCGTGGTTATGGGGAAAACTCAGATGTGTAAGTTCCTCCCTATGACAATGTGAGGAATAGTCAGGAAATGCTCCCCCACTAAGGCCCAGTACTAGGAATGACCTGCAGCCCATCGGCCCTTTGCATTCTGGCTTCCCTCTTCTGCCCCGTAGCCCACCCTCATGCCTCGCCTGTTGGTCTTTTTCTCTGGTGGTTAACATTGGAGTTCTTCCTGTGATACCCAGGGGTGTGCTGAAAATGATAACCACCAGCTCTTCAAGGACAAGTGAACATATATACTTACATATTTACAATAAAACTTACTGATATAAAGGATATCAACCTACAAATGTTAAAAAACACACAATTTCTTTATTGTAAACTTTTTCCGTGGTTATTATGACTGATTTTCACAGAATGCTTTTTTTATGGTAAAGTCTTGGATCAAAAGCAATTCTGTTAGTTACAATTTAACTAAGTTTTAATAATCTTTGAATAAATGCTTGCTACTATCTGATTAGTCAATGATGTTTTTGAAGGAGTGTAGTTTCAACTTAGAGTTTGATACTTTTGTTTCCTTAGTGAAGTGATAAAGACTTGGAATTAGTTCATCAGTGACATAAATAACTTCTTTGCTGAATTGAATAATAAATTTCAAATACTAGAAAAATGTTTCCTTAATTTTGGGGGGTATTTAAAGTATAATGGCTATAGATATGACACATGCAAGATGAATCTTATAATCACTTACATTTTATTACTTTCTTAGATTTAGACTAGGATCTGGCAAACGTTTTGTGTAAGAAGGCCAGATTGTACATATTTTAGGTTTAATGGGCTCTCTCTTGTTATAGCACTGAAGTAGTCATAGACACAGTGTGAATGATCAGCAAAATTCCACTAAAACTGTATCTACAAAACCAACCAAGGAGGCCGACTTGGCCCAAGGGCACTTGTTTTTATTTTTTTTTAATTTTTTAATTTTGTTTTGTAGACCAGGGAATGGAAAACAGTCAAGCCCTGGTTTGTAGTATTTACAATTTTTACCATGTAAATACTCCCACGATGGCAGATTTCAAGCTACAATGTGACACATTATTAAATGTGGAGTTGGGAAGAGATGTGTGAGCAAACCTTTATTTAGTATCTCCACCATATGGGTACAATTGACATAAGCATACAAGAGAATAGATACAAGTTGAGTGGCCCCAATCCAAAGATCTAAAATCCAGAATGTGATAAAATTTGAAAGTTTTTGAGTTCTCACAAAGTGGAATAAGTGGAAACTTTCATGGCTGGTCTGTCTGTTGACAAATTTTTTTAAATTTATTCTTTTTAAATATACATGACAGTGGAAGGTATTTTGACATATTATACATACGTGGAGTATAATTTATTCTAATTAGGATCTCATTCTTGTGGTTGTGCATGATGTGGAGTTTTACTGGTTGTGTATTCATATATGAACATAGGAAAGTTATTTCTGATTCATCATGTTTTTCCTGTTCCCATCCTTTCTTGTTTACCTTCATTCCCCTTTGTCTAATCCAATGATCTTTTATTCTTCCCTTCCCACCCCTTAATGTGTGTTAACATCCACCTACTAGAACATTTGGCCTTTGGTTTTTGGGGAGTGGCTTATTTCACTTAGCATGACAGTCTTCAGTTCCTTTCCATTCACTGGCAAGTGCCATAATTTCATTCTTCTTTCTGGCTGAGTAATGTTCCATGGTGTATATGTACACATTTTCTTTATCCATTCACCTATTGAAGGGCACCTAGGTTGGTTCCATAGCTTAGCCATCGTGAATTGAACTGCTATAAACATTGATGTGACTGTCACTGTATTATGCTGATTTTAAGTCCTTTGGGTTAAACTGAGGAGTGGGATAGCTGGGTCAAAATGATGGTTCCATTCCACATTTTCTAAGGAACCTCCATACTACTTTCCAGTATGGTTGCACCAATTTGCACATTTTCTAAGGAACCTCCATACTACTTTCCAGTATGGTTGCACCAATTTGCACATTTTCTAAGGAACCTCCATACTACTTTCCAGTATGGTTGCACCAATTTGCAGCCCCACCGGCAGTGTATGAGTGCACCTTATCCCCCACATCCTCACCAACATTTATTGTTACTTGTATTCTTGATACCTGCCATTATGATTGGAGTGAGATGAAATCTCAGTGTAGTTTTAATTTGCATTTTTGTTGGCCAATCATATTTCTTCTTCTGTGAAGTGGCTGTTCATTTCCTTTGCCTGTTTATTGATAGAGTTATTTGTTTGTTTGGTGTTCTTTTTTGAGTTCTTTATATATCCTAGAGATTAATGCTCTGAGGTGCAGGTGGCAAATATTTTCTCCTGTTCTGTAGGCTCTCTCTTCATATTCTTGTTTGCTTTGCTATGAAGAAGTTTTTAGTTTGATATCATCCCATTTATTGATTCTTGATTTTACTATGCCTGACATTTGTGGTGAGTTGTTGTCAAAGTTCAGATGCACCAAAAATATTGTATAAGAATTACCTTTTAGGCTACATGTGTAAGGCGTACATGAAACATCAATGAATTGTGTGTTTGGAGACTAGGGTCCCATCCCCAAAGTACCTCATCATTGTAAGAAAATATTCCAAAATCCAAAACATTTGGTCCTAAGCATTTTGGATAAAATTTGCATACTCAGCTTGTAATAGTGAACTGTAGGAGAACAGTTAGAAAGTAATGAGTAGTTGTTGCTTTCAATAAATCAGTATAATTCATTTAATTGTTAATATTGAATAATCAGCTTAAATGATTTTTTAAAATTTAATAATTGGCTATTGTAAGCTTGTGCAAATCAGCTTTGTTACCTCCTGTAAAATGACAGACACTACTCTAACCTTTCGATTTGATTTGTTTTAACCCTAATTATCATAACACCTACCAAAAACACCCTATTACACATTTAAGGAAACCAAGGCATAGAAGTTAACTGACATCATGTGATAGAACAGTATGTTTTTGGTTTTGGTACTAGGGATTGAACCCATTACCATTGAGCTTAGTAGTCCTTTTATTTATTTATTTATTTATTTATTTATGTTTTTATTTTAAGATAGGGCCTCACTAACTTGTCGAGGCTGGCTTTAAATTTGGGAATCCTCCTGTCTCAGCCTCCTGAATCATTGGGATTACAGGTGCACACCACCAAAATGGAACAGGGTTTTGAATGAGCCTATCTGACTTGCTAGCCTGATATTGCTCTCACACTGTGTGCTAAATGGCATCCCAGTATTGCTGACATACCTAGCTGAGACCCAGTTGGATAACACTATGGTGGGTGTGGGTAGGAGTAGTGAGAGTGCTTTGCAGGCTACTGCCCAACTCAGCTATTCACGTCTAAAAACAGACAGTTTGTGGCTTTTGTAGACTTGGTCCCTAGCATAACTGCGCCTTCTAGTTGTAAATTTCCTCATTGTCCATGCACTCCGTCAGTGACCTTCCATACCACTGTAGGAATCACTGTGTCACAATCTCTGCTTTCCCCTAGCAGTTTCAGTTCTGTTGACTTGACATGCAGTGGACTGATTTTCATATTAACCTCTGAGGAGGAAAGAATGTGAATCTCAAGTTGCAGACCTGCATTTAAATGTAGGCTTTGCCACTTGGACATCAAACCTACAAGAATATAATGAGTGCCTCCTTTGCCAGGTGGCTACAGGGATCTACAGAGCTCATGTGACAAGGTGCTGGAACCAGAGCATGTGTGATAAGGCTCATCATGGAAATGAGAGCTGTCAGTTTGTGAGGGACTCTCACATCCTTGCCCCAACTCTTGTCTCCTTTCTTTCCTTGACCCAGAGTTTGAGTCAGCACATTGAATAGGTTGAAAGCCCTGTATAATAGAGTTCCTTTTCCTCCTTCAGTCTGCTCAGCAAATGTAGACATATCAACAGGGCACCTGTTCTGGCTGCCTTGCGACAGAGGTGCTATCCAGAAGACCAGCATTCCTGGAGCCGACACACATACCCTCTACAGCACCAGCAGCATCATACTGCAGCTGCTTCTCGACTGGCCCAGGAGGGTGCTCTATTGGGTGGAAAGCGGGAAACACTTGCAGAGTCTAACCCTGGATGGCAAAATCAGACAGGAGGTCTGGAGAGGCACCTGGACAGCAGACACCCAGATGGCCTTAGACCTGGGCTCCGCTAGCATTCTCTGGACTACCAAAGGGTCAGGTAAGCCCTTGTACTGCCAATGCACGTGAGGAAGCACCAGGGGACAGTGAGCTCTAGACAGTCCTATCTTTAGTATAATGCTTCTAGTCATTCTTTCACATTTGTTTTCAATTTTTTTAATTAATTTTTTTTGTCTGTGCTGGGGAAATTCTTTTTTGTTTTTAATTGACACACAATAATTGTACATATTTATGAAGTGCAGTGTGACGTTCTGACACATGTATGCAATGTGCAGTGATCAAATCAGGGTGCATCTGTCACCTGGAACATTTATCGTTTCTTTGTGGGGAGAACACTTGAAGTCCTCTCTCCTAGCCATCCCAGTTATTTCAAGAACTAGGTAGACACAGAATTTGTCTGTGTCTACCTAGTTCTTGAAACTGGGAATAGAAGTTTGACAGTTAAAGCATGGATAGTCACCTCAAATTTGCCTCTGATCTAAAAGTGTAGTTTGGGGGAGGGGGATAGTAGAGGATAGGAAAGACAGCAGAATACAACAGACACTAGTATGGCAGTATGTAAAAAAGTGGATGTGTAACCGATGTGATTCTGCAATCTGTATACGGGGTAAAAATGGGAGTTCATAACCCACTTGAATCAAATGTATGAAATATGATATGTCAAGAGCTTTGTAATGTTTTGAACAAGTAATAATAAAAAATAAATAAATAAATAAATAAAATAAATAATCCCCCCCCACAATAATAAATAAATAAAATAAATAAAAGTGTAGTTTGGGGATTTAGAAGATGGAAAACCTCAGAAATGACATACTTAATAACTTTTAAAATATACTTTGAATAGCTGTTTGTCGTGTCCAGGATTCACTTCTACTTCATTAAGTAGAAGTAATGAAACCAAAGTCCCATTGCCAATGAGGGCCAAGGGTTGCAGCTGTAACTTGGAAACAAGTACAGGTTATATCTGTGTAGCTGAGTTTGCTCATTTTCTTCCCCCGGAGTCTGTCCGTGAGGTCAGCTACATGCTGATGGCCAGGAGTTTTTAGTATACATGGAAGCAGCAAAGTCACATCTGACGTTCCCTCATGGCAGGACAAAGCCCCTCGCTTTCCAGGAGCTTAAAGCACCTCATTAGTCTATCTTTACATATAAAATTAAAATCTAGAAAACGTGATACGAAGAGTATGTGATTCTTTATATTTGGGGTTTTTGAACCTCAATCTGACAGCACATGTGCACCTCACCCAAGCATTCTGTGGTGACAGATCACTTGTTCAGCATCCGCTTCTAAGACCTTGGCTCTTCCTTAGGGTTGCAAAGTCTGAGTCTCCTAAAAAATAGAACGTACTCTTTGAACAAGTCCTGGAGTGATGGGCTCATCGCGGCCCATGAGCCCTACCTGGTGACGGTGGACCAGGCAGCTCTTGTGCTGTGGAACAGGAAGACGCTGGAGCCCTTCTCAGTGCTGAAGGAATCATACGTAAAGAAAATGATCATCTTGGCAGAGAACCAGGAGGTGCCGGGTGAGTCCTTCTTTGGTCTGGTTATTCTTTGACTCCGCTTCACTGGACCCTTCCCATTGTTGTGCTTTTCTAGGATCCGATCCTGGGTGCTTGTACATGTGCACGGGCAGTTGTCTCCAGCCACAGTTCAGCAGGCTGTCTCCCTAAGGTCTCTGTGTGTTGGAAACACAAGAATCCAACCCATTTCTTCAAGTTCCTTAATGACATAAGTCTCTTAGCAATATTCAAAGAAGGGTGCAGGCCATCACCCCTTTTGGAAGTCATCTTGCACATCAGCATATTCAAGCCTTTTTGGTACTTAAAAAAAAAAAAAAACATTTAATTTGCTCTAAACCAGTTTCCCAAACTTATTTATCAAAGAAACCATTCTTTCCCTCCATGGAACTGAACCAGGCACCCTTAATCACTGAGTCACATCCCCAGCCCTTTTTTTTATTTTTATTTTTTTTATTTTGACACAGTATCTCACTAAGTTGCTTAGGACCTTGCTAGGTTGCTGAGGCTGGCTTTAAACTGGCAATCCTCCTGCCTCAGCTTCCAGAGCTGCTGGGATTACAGGGGTGTGCCACCATGCCTGGCTAAGTAGTATCTCAAAGGGGACCCTCTGTGACACTCCTTTAAGGTTGTGGATGCAAGTTGAGTTTCCCTTGTCTGAAATATTTGAGACACGTTTCAGATTTTGATTTTTTTTTTGAGTTTTGTAATGTTTGCATATAACTAATATTTTGGGGAAGGTACCCAAGTCTAAACACAAAATCCAGTTAACTTTATATACATCTTATGCACATAGCCTGAAGATAATTTTTTAAATTATGTTTAGTGCTCCTGCATTATGACTATGACCTGTCCCATGAGGACAGGTAGAGAATTTTCTACTTGTGACATCGTGTTGGCACTTACAGGGTTGTAGATTTTGAAACATTTTGGATTTCAGATTTTTTGGATTTGGCATGCTCAACTGGTACCAGGAAAAACCGTGCTCTTGCTTTTATTGAAGTTGTGTCAGGGTTATTTGAATGAATCTGCTTAAGGTTGCTTTCCTTTCTTTTTCTTTTGAAAAATGTTGTTGGCACAGAGCCCCCGCCCCTTCCCGCCACACACACAAAAAAATCTGATCTTGAATCACAAGGCAGGAAAAGAGGAAATTCATATCACAGGCGTCATTGTCATTGTTAGCAGATGTAGCTGGATGTCTTGAAGTGGAAACACAAAGGACAAATGCATTCCTTCTGTATACCCGATCTCATTCTGTCCTCCCATTCCCCTCCTCTGTCCAAACTGCCTTACTTTTTCTTTTTTTAAAGATGTTGATGGACCTTTATTTTATTCATTTATTTATTTGCGGTGCTCAGAATTGAACCCAGTACCTCACACATGCTAGGCAAGCGCTCTACCATCAAGCCACAACCCCAGCCACCGAACTGCCTTACTTTTTGACTCACTGGTTGGTTACGCCTGATTTTAAGAGTTAGAAGCATTAGGCATAGGGACAGATTTCTTAGGTGGTGAAGTGTGCCAGTAAAGTTGATTTTCTGTAACAAATCCAATCTTTATTATTCAAACAAATCTGTTCAGTTGCTACAATGGTTGCTGAAGAGCACTAATGATAACTTTTAGGATTGTAATTAATGCTTTTCAGCAAATGAGGACCCATTATATGCTGGCCCTTGTTCAAGACCACAGGATGCTATAGCAGGAAAGCAGAAGGACAGTTATGCCTCACTTAATGATAGGGATATCTTCTGAGAATGTGTAATGTTAGTGATGTCGTCATTATATTAACATCATATAACGTACCTACACAAGCCCACAAGCCCAGATGGAATAGACCATATACACCTACTGTACATATTTTTATGTGCTAGACTTTGTTTTTTTTTAACCCAAGGCACTTAACCAATGAGCCCACATCCACAGCCCTTTTTTATTTAGAGACAGGGTATCACTAAGTTGCTTAGGGCCTCACTAATTGCTGAGGCTGGGCTTTGAACTTGCCATCCTCCTGCCTCAGCCTCCAGGGCCACTGGGGTTTCAGGCATGGACCACAGTGCCCAGCTGGGCTAGACTTTTATATGACTGGCAGCATGGTAGAATTTTTTTTTAAACACCAGTATCGTTACAAACACATGAGTAATTCGTTGTGCTTGACATGAGAACAGCCTCAACTTTATATGATGTTAGTGACATCACTGAGTGCTAGGAACTTTTCAGCTTTATTTTAATCTTATGAGATTATTGTCATAAGTGAGACTGTTGTTGACTGAAATGTCAATCATACTACACATAACTGTACTTTTTATTCCTCAGACTGGAATAGAGTAGCAGATAGTGAAAAAAATTAAGGTTAAAGTTTTTAGACTGGCAAGAAGAAAACAATTTGCCCAAATTCAAAGCCAGTAGATAATGATCTAACGTACCACTCTTAATCTAAGGATGTAAATTCGAGGCAGTTTCACTTTTTATTCTTATGAAGTAGAAAAATGTTGGTACTCAGCCATGACATGTCTTTCTGGAAGAGGGGGACAATAGGAGCATGCCCCAATTGCTGAACCATACCAGCCTGACTTGCTGAAGCAGTGGTTTGCTCTAGATCCTGAGATTGAAGGAGCCACAATGGTCCCTCCTACTCTTCCTCCTCCACCACCTCTACTATGCACCCGGTCCTCTGTTCCCTGTCGGGATGGGAAGGAATGTATTTCTCGGGAGTCCCTCTGTGACGGCCAGCGTGACTGTCAGGATGGCTCCGATGAAGAGAACTGCTCCCAGCTCTGCCACAAACCAGGTCTGTCACCCTCTCCTGTCCTCAGTGTTTTGTGCCAGGTACTCTGAGTTGGCTTTGAGCGTGCCATGAATTGTCAGAGTGTTGACTTGACCAGAGTCATGCTGACTTTCCCTAGGCAGATTTGCATAGATGAAAGCCACAGCCTGTCAGGATTCTGATTCTGTGAGTGCCCATTTTACCACATTTAAGCCACGTGCTAGACTATTACTTCCTTGCTGCTTCAAATTTTCTAAGTGTTCCAATCTGACCTAAATGGCCCACTTTTAACAGAGGTGGTCTTACAAGTCATCAGAGTAACCAAACACGAGGCTTTAAATGACCTAGCTTAGCTCGCTGGTTTAGTTGACCTGAGCACGTTATGAATCAATTAGATATTAGAACTCAGATTAAACAAGATGAAGTCTGTTTGCACCTCAGATTCCAGAATGAGAGTGAATTCATCTCAGTTTGGACCTTCTGTCTGACTGTGCTACTCTGGCATTTTCCATTTAAGGAGTCTTCCAGTGTCTGGATGGAAGAAGGTGCATAGAGGAGAAATACCACTGCGATGGGGCTCAGCACTGCTTGGATGGGTCTGATGAGCTCAGCTGCTGGAAGCCTGTCGAAGAGTGTTCTCTGCGCTGTGACAACAAGACTCGCTGCATCCCTAAGAGCTGGCTATGTGATGGAAACCCAGACTGTTCTGACAAGAGAGATGAACAAGGATGTGGTAGGTTTCAACGGGCTTCCTGAAAGTATTTTAAACAGTATTAGAGTTGCTGCTGCTTTTTCATAGTAGGTAGGTTCTAAATGAGCAGATATGGAACCATCCTCATTCCTGGAAGTAATGCCAGGTTGGGTACCTATAGAGCCTCTGGTCACAATGTTTTTATCAACTGACTGATACTTAGCCTCTTTGCATATGTATTTCTGTTGAAAGGTGTCATGATATCTGTTGTTGATTCATCAGCATTGAGCTCACAACACTGCCATTCAGCCCTTAACACAGCTTACCTAATACAGGTATTTCTCCTTAAAGCAAGTCACAGCTATCTTGTGCTCAGGAACATTAGACAGCATTTCAGCCCTGTGCTAGGAGGCCATTCAATAGAAAAATCACCAAAATGAGACTAAATAGACTGCAAAAAGTACACTTATAGTTT